GAGCATAAATTTAATCCATTTATACCCCTCTCGTAATCCATTGTTCAGAGCATACATTTAATCCTCTTATACCACTTTTGTAATCCATTGTTCAGAGCATACATTTAATCCATTTATACCACTCTTGTAATCCATTGTTCAGAGCATACATTTAATCCATTTATACCACTCTTGTAATCCATTGTTCAGAGCATACATTTTATCCATTTATACCACTCTTGTAATCCATTGTTCAGAGCATACATTTAATCCTCTTATACCACTTTTGTAATCCATTGTTCAGAGCATACATTTAATCCATTTATACCACTCTTGTAATCCATTGTTCAGAGCATACATTTATTCCATTTATACCACTCTTTTAATCCATTGTTCAGAGCATACATTTAATCCATTATACCACTCTTGTAATCCATTGTTCAGAGCATACATTTAATCCATTTATACCACTCTTGTAATCCATTGTTCAGAGCATACATTTTATCCATTTACACCACTCTTGTAATCCATTGTTCAGAGCATACATTTAATCCATTATACCACTCTTGTAATCCATTGTTCAGAGCATACATTTATTCCATTTATACCACTCTTTTAATCCATTGTTCAGAGCATACATTTAATCCATTATACCACTCTTGTAATCCATTTATACCACTCTTGTAATTCATTGTTCAGAGCATATATTTAATCCATTTATACCACTCTTTGGCACCTCACTATTGTTATAACCATGCCTTCTTTTTGAGATAACCGGAAATTTTTTACCAGAATCGGCCCGTTAATTTGTTTCAAACTGTCCATGTTTACCTGTTATTCGGACGGCTTCAGACCAAAGTTATTCTCTCATGATGATCGTGCGAGAGTGCAACTTACTCCTCACTTTTGAAAAGAAAAATTTGTTTCTAGTGGCAAGACCAAGAACTCAAACTATTGTTTCGCCACACTGTAAACTTACATTGCTTTTTATGTAACAGTCAAGGTATGGAGATGAAACAATTCTTCAGAACAGAATTTAAACCCACAACTTTGACAACAGAAGGTCTCAAATGACACATTAAGGATTTGGTTGGATCATCAATAAAAATTCAAATTATGTCCTTGATGTCATGGGGAGGTATTGAGTTGTTAGTGACAAAGCGTTCAATGAACCTTTGTGAGTTTATTATTTAAAGTAACTATATAGCCAGCATGCTATGCTGTGGTGTGGGGTGGTTAAGTCATGATCTGTAATTGTACACCTTGTTCATTGTGACAGTTTCAGCATGCTATGCTGTGGCGTAGTGTGGTTAAGTCATGATCTGTAATTGTACCCCTTGTTCATTGTGACAGTTTACTAGATTATATCTATCTACAGTAATGTGCTTTCTCCATAGCATACAATTACCTAATTAGTATGCATGCCTCAGTTTCTTACCTCAACACGAAAACCGTCCATTAGAAGATAGTGGCTTTGTTGACATAAAAGCATACTGCAAATTTGAGGTAGTTTTTCTGCAGCCCCATCGTTGCTTGCAAGTTTTCATAGCATGTGTGTGTTACGTAACATGTCTGTATAATAGTGAACTATATTCATTCATTGACTGACATGTGAAAACAAACTTGTTCTGAAAAACAGTCCTCTTACTAGTAAATGTAACAAAGAAACAGTACTTTCCTATTAAACGGGCACAGTGAAACTAGTAAATCAAGACTATTCAGAAAAAATCCTAGCAAATGCTTGTTGACAAGAGATACCAAATGAAAACTGTTCGCTATTGAATGCAAGCATCATACTTAGAACAATAGGCAGAAGACAAAGAGTGGTGGAAGTATAACTACATTTAGACTTTGAACTTTCTTTGGCAGTCAACTGAAACAGGCGAGGATAGAATGTGAAAATGCTTCCTTAATATATAATGTGATGTATATTAAACAGAAAACAGAGTTCTTTAAGGCCTACCTTCCCTAACCTAAATCCTAATCCTAACACTCCAGCCCCTAATGTAAATGTATTTTCTCCTCCAGATATACATGTCCTGAAGAGGCCATATACAAGTGAAATGGTGGAGGAGCATTGATGGGCATGTTTAGAATCAGAGTTATGGGTCACGGGGTCACGGGACCCTGATGAAAATAACAACAATAAGCATACAACTCTGCTGATAAAATTACAGTGAATACTAATCATATCAGTCCAAATATTATAGTACATTTCAAACCATTTATTTGGAAATAATGCCGAGGTCAAACTATAATAAACATTTAGGAGTCATTTTTAGAATATTTCAATCTTTCTGGAGTGAAATTTATGTATTTTGTAGTTGCTGACACCTCTTTAAGAACACAACATTTGCAAAGGATGAACAATGTTTTGAAAATAAGCTGTCAACTCTGTGAAAACTGATAAATCTGTTCCATGGTCGCCATTGCTGGCACCACCAAGCATAATGTATAACCAAACAAACATATTTTTGAGTACGTTATTATAATTATTAGTAAGTAATAAAGTTTGTACCAACTCAATAGCAAGTAAGTTATTGTGAAACAGCATGACCAAATTGAAATACTGTCATTGTTAATTTGAGTGGAACTAAAAAATAATGGTCACCTAGAAATCGAATGGTCATTAATAATAAAACTTGTTATATATTTTTCATTATCAACAAAATTAAAACTATATTTTTATCACATGAAAATAAATTGACAATTATTTTTTACACCAAATGAAGGCCTTTCACCTAGATCAGAATACTTACATGGTATATGGACAACCTATGGTATACAAATAAACATGGAATAGATTTGTTGATGTTAGTACATACACCATGCATAATTTAAATAGAATACAAAAATATTTACAAATGTACAAAAAAAAGTAATAACTGGTGAGCTGACAAGCCTAAAATGTTCCCAGCATGATACATTTTCGATCAGAAGCCAGCAAATAAATAAAGAATCAATCCATGTCAGCAAAGTGACTGTTAGCAGCAAACATCAAAGCCATTCAGTAAAGGTGGGGGTCACTTTGCAAGTGGCACTGCAAAGGGCACCCAATTTACTGTCAGATCATTGGAAGACAAACTTTTCCTGCAAACAGTTCTGAGATGATTGTAAAAAAAATGGACATGATAAAGAGGACGTAAGAAGATCCAACTTGAACACTGCTTGGCAGTTTATACGGCTGTCCACCGATCTCATCCATGTAGAATCCTATCGGGAATATTAACGCAGCAAGGCAAAATAACACCACTGTAAGAAAAAAAAACAATCTAAAGAAGTGATAGCTGGAAACCAGTAGCATTCAAGTTATTACCTTTATTACCACTGTCGCACTAAAAATGAAATAATATGCAGATCAGACCACC